AAAAAAAAAAAAATTGGTATAACTTGTCATTGATTTTTAACCTGTCATGTTACTATATTTCAGCCAAATCATTGTTTATTCAAAAATGGAACATATAAATATGTTCGCAATTATTGTTAAGTTATCATCTGATCATTTAAATTTTTAGGGTTTCTATATAAATTGGGTAATGTAAAAGACGACTTTATCTAGTGATATTATTAAATTTGGGGGCGCAGCATTAGTATATTTAATTTAGGTGTATAAAATTTTTAGTCTTAAATTTGCTGCGGTTTTGAATGACGTTAATTTTATAGGCCCAAAGTGACCTTAAACTTATTATTTTAATGACCATTGGTGGTCCGTAATGATGTAGGTGATTTATTGTAGATCGTTAGGAGTACAAACAGGATACCGGTTCATCAAGGCCCTCAAAACCGACTTTTTTTTTTTTTTTATTTAATTGGTTCTTTTAATTATTTTAATTAATTCTGGAAAGGGGAACTTTTGATTTTAATTGGTTCCTTTAGAATAGGTTTTCATATAAATAGGTTTTGGGAGTATTTACTTAACATAACTTAAAAATGAAAATTTCAAGGAAGAAAAGAAATTTTATCTTTGAACTCAGAAAACGCACTAATTAATAAAATTTATCTTTTGCATACCATCTGGTGGCAATGATTTAACAAATCATGTACGTAAAGGTGCGGGATGGTCCCTACGGTAATTAAAAAAAAAATTTGGATATTTAGATTACTCTGTATAAATACTGATTAGATTATGTACAGTATAGCCAGCTGGTTCCCTATGAATTGTGTAACATGGCTAATCTCAAATTCAAATCATCGGAAAAACATTGAATATTGACATCATGACACTAGAAAAAAAATAGAAAAACATAAGATTTAATAATAATACACAGGGAATAATAATTAAACCATAATTGCAAATTCCTTGTTATAAATTGATTAAATTCATTTTATCGTAAGTATAACCTGCAAATCAATCTGGCTATCATTTTTTCTGGGAGACGCTAGGGTTGTTGAGTGTCTCTCTATCCAAATCAATAAAATCACACCATAATAATCATACTTTAACAAATTTAAACTGATTTATAATGGCTTATATTGTTGCTAACTTAGCCAAATTTTTAAAAAACTTGTTGCCATCTGATCACCACGTTGAGGTGCATTGATCAGGGGAGGGAAAAAGTGAAGGAAAAAGACGAGAGAAGAAAAGGGAATGGAAAAGAAGCGAAGGGAGGGATGAGAAAGGAAAAGAAGAGGGAAAGGGTTAGAGAAAGGACGAGAGAGAAGTAAAAGAGCGAGGAAAAGGGAAAGGAAAAGGATAGGGAAAGAACGAGGGAAAACAAACACCACACATACCCACACATCCACACTACCCTTTTACATACCTAAAAGAAGATTTAAAGAAAGGATCAAAAATAAAGGGAAAAAAAAGAGACCTAAAGAAAAGAAAATACACGAAAGAATCCTAATAAAGAGAAAGAGAAGACTTAAAGAAAAAGATACCTAAAGAAAAGAAACGAAAGAGAAGACACGAAAAGAGCTTATAGGATAGATGATACTTTTTAAAAAGTTATTTGTCATAACGAAAAATTAGGAGAAAATGAAGAAGTTAATTAATTATCATATTACTTGCCTGTTTTCATTATCGTTATTGGAATATTGCAGGTCGCCATAGTTTTTTGTCATTAATAAGACGGTATAACAAGTATTTATTTCATTATTATATTCTGTTACTGTCATGTGACTGCAATGAAAAATGATGGTAAAGTTATATTTACTTTAAATGATGCTAAATTTTTACAAATACTTACCAGACAATTGAATTTTAATTGTTGGATATTGTAAAGTATGGATTTAATTTCATTAATTAAATCAAAAATCATTAATGTAAATAATATCTTTGAACCACAGAACTTTATTTTGCTTAAAGTGACAATTAGGGTGTGGCAAATATGGTTTTTTGCATTAAAAATTTGGTCTAGTTATTTAATTAAATTGATTATACAAACTTTATGATATTGATAGCACAATAAATAAATAATCTTTTTTTTTGTGTACATGTTTCACGTTTTTTTGCATATCTCAAATTTCAAGAAAATTAATTCAAATGCAAATTATTATTTAATTACAAAGAACCCTAATCAGTTGTCATAATTTTTTAAAAATTGTAACGAAAACAAAAGTAATGTAAAATTAAAAAATCACTTTTTTTTAAAAAAAAAAAATCTAACAATATCACGCGACGCAGATTTACATGCTGCGACTGCTGCGTCAAATCGATCAACTTCCATCCTTCTCTTGTAAATGCATTATGTACTATAAAAATAATTAGTAAAGTCGTTAATCAAATTCATATAAATAAACTTTATATTAATTAAAACAATAAAAAGATATTATTGGGCGTTTTTTATAAAACTAGTAACGATTTTGTTGATCATTTGTTGATCATTTATTTTAAATTTATTATAAATTTTGTCACGAGATTTTCTATGGAAATAATTTCTCAATTTGTTATTAAAACACCTGCTGAATTGCCTCGAAATTGAAAATCATTTCCCTTTTTATAAAAAAATTTCCTTTTTGGTAAAAAACTCTCAGATTAATCTTATATAACTTTATGTAAATGTCAATGACAATGTCAATGTCAGTGACAATGTCAATGTCAATGTCAATGTCAATG